AGGAAGGTGGAACAGGAGAAGGAGGGAATCTGCAGACAGAGCAAATTTAGAGGTTTTCTTAGGTCACCGGAGCCTAGAGGGAAAACCTTAAACGTCTGAGAAAGAAGTCCGATTTTCGCTGTGTGTGTTGGAGAGATGTGTACAGATCTGGGCCCGTGTGGGAATACACGTCAGCAGCCGGAGAAAGACTACATCCGTTTATTTGCATTTCTGATGAGTTTGGGGAGGGAGCGTCCGTGGCACTTCGTACTTGGAAGACAAAGGCTCCTTTGTCGGTGGGAGTCCTGTTTGAGTTTTATGCATATAAGGCCGTTTTTTGCCCCCGGCCAGGGCTAGGTACAAGATCACCGTGACTGCTGGCTTTGAAAAGCCTTTGTATGTATTAACGCTTTGATCCTCCCTCAAGCATCCGTGCTCCCGGGAGCTCGAGCCGGCTGCTGCCTCTGTCCATCGCACACAGAACTGGGCTTCCCCAGGGTCCCCACAACAAGCTCTTTCTCCAATCTTGACAAACACGGAGCAGAAACCAGTGTTGCCGTTAGGGCTCCGTGTGCGCTGGGCAGGGCTGGGGCCGCCAGGAGAGGGAGGGGAAGGGCCTGCCCTCTGCTCCGCCGCATGAGACCTGTGTTCTCGGACCGGCTGGGACGAGGTTTCACGTTCCTCTGCGATGACCTTTTCCCCCGGACACGCGATCTCAGTCTTTGGGGTGACCGCAGGCTCGGTGTGAATGAGAGGGAGAGAGGAAGGGGGTGCAGAGACAGGCAGAGGCAGCCGGTGGCCAGCCTGACCGCTTCTGACTCCTTCCGTGGTCTCGGGGAGTTACCCGCTTCTCCGCGCGTGTGCGCGCACCTGGACACACGCGAGGGCGCCAGACCGTTCCCTTTCCCCTTCTCGCTCTCTCCTAAGAGACCCTTTAGATGAAGTCCCGTGCGAAAGTGAAGTCCACGAAACAGACTCACGAGCTGGCGAGGGGTCCGGCAGCCTGCTCACCCCGTGTGACCTCTAGAGCCTCCCTTTGGACCCCCGATGGCTTCCCTGTCTGTGGCGCCTTCGCTCCTGTGTTCGAGGTGCAGGCACCGGTGGGCTCGCGGCTGTGCGTCCGTGACACAGCCTACTCTCCTGTTATCGTTTATTTATTCATCACTGCATCATTTATTTGTCTTCTTATCCTTGCTGTTGCTTATGATTTCTCTCTTGGGGGACGACGGCAGGGGATTGATTCTGCCCGCTGTTGCCCACCCCTGTGCTGTGACACCTGGCTCTGTGTCACAGTGGGTCACACACCTTCCACCTGCACCTGCTCCTCCTCCACGGCCCTGCGACCTGAGCTCCCGGACAACCACGACCTCTCTAGCCCTAAATCTCGTGAACCTCGCGCAGTGCCTGGCCCGCCAGGAGCCCGCAGACGCCCGCGGAGTGGGCGAGGAGAGGAGGAGGGAGTGACCCGCACCGAGCGAGGTCTGACAGGCACACCCGCCGCAGTGGGAGCGGGGACTTCGACGTACCTGTGGCCCTGTTGGTAGCCCTGGGACACTGCTGGACACAGGCAGACTTTGGCTCGCTGTACGGAAACCTTTAAACTGGTCGCAGTTGTTACGTAGGAACACAGGTGCGCCGTTATCACCTCTGTCCCTAAAGAAGCTGTCCCTTCTTCCGTGTAGGATGGCGTGTGGATGTAGGATGAGATGTGGCAGGGTACTCTGCCTGGCGAGAGCCAGGTGCAGGGATGTCAGCGGGTGCCTCACCCTGTCCTACCTTTCCTCTGCTCCGTGACACTCCCAGCGCCCAAAGGGGGCTGCTCCCTCCGCCTGGGTGACGGTGCTGTGGAGCAGAGCCCCCGGCTGACACACGGGATCTGCAGCATGGAAGAGAAATAAACCATTGGTGTTTTAAGCCACTGGAACCTGGGGCTGCTTGTTGCTGCAGCAGAACACAGCCCGTCCTGACTGAAGCGACAGGCAGGGAGCTTGGCCTCGTGCTGGCTTTGATGAGAGCCTATCAGGAGAGCAGTGCTATCCGGGAAGGCCGGTGGTCGGAGAGATGGGGTTGCTTGGGGTTAGGGCCCAGGCAGATCACACGGAGGCCTACGGCTGCCATCGCTGGGGAATCTCTAGTAGTAGATCCAGGCCCGTCTTTTAGAGAAAGACCCACGGTGACCAAAAGCCTGATACACAAGCCACAAACACTGGTTTAGTAGCTCAGTGGGAAGGGAGTGAGTCTCATACATGTGTTCACTGACCAGGGAGAAATGCCCGTCAGCAGCCAGATAATGAAAAATAAACTGCCGTGCGAGGTTTGACTTGCAGCGAGGGGAGTTCGTGGAGCGAGCTGGGACACGCGAGGTCCTTCTTGACCAGCTTAGGGAACCGCCTGCCGGACAGACGGCACGCAACGCACGCACCTCCTGGAATGCCGTCCTCGGGGCGTGACTTGTTGCACACGGTGGGTGACTGTACGCTTGTCCTGGGGCTCCGAGCGTGTCCCGCACCCTCCGCCACTGTGAGGGCCCCGGCAGCCATTCCTGTTGCTTTGCCTGGGAGAACAGGTCGGAGAAGCTCTCCGCCAACGCGCCCCCTGCCGGCTCCCCACCCCGAGCATCCTCCTCGCTGTGAGTGTCTTCCCGGGACCCTTCCTGCCATTCCCTTCCCGTTCTGGGAGCCGCTGGGCCTCTGTGGCTCCCGGGCGGTGACGGCCACACCGCCGCCCGTGATGACACCGAGGTTTTGAGAAAGAAAGGTTTCACGCAGCGTGCCAAGCACGCAAGTCCTACGGCTGCTGGAGGAGACTTAAACAAACACAGCTGAGAAAATAAATCCCAGGTCAGCAGACCCTCGGAGACTGTGGGTACCAAGAACATCGGGGAAGCCCGGAGGGCGGACAGCGGTAGAAGGCCAGCCAAGAGGAGCCAGGGCTGGGGCCTGTCCAGAGCGCGTGGAAGACAATGGAGACTCGGCCAGTGTGGGTGCAGGAGGGGAGCAGGCAGTGCCCAGGTGTGCGTCCGGGGAGTGGGCTCTCCCTCCGGGTCCCCGATGCCTCTCCCACTGACCCACGAGCCCCTGGAGGAACGGGACAGTGTCCCTCCTCGTCCTGGTGACCAGCACAGGGTGTGGCGCAGGCTGGGCAGCTCAGTGAAAACTGTGGAGTGAGGGGGGACCTCTGGACGACGCGGGAGGCCCCCCCCCCGCCGGGGACACGCTGTGCAGGAAGGAAACAGCCCGAGTGAGTCGGTGCCCCACACCCTCGTCTGAGTCAGCAGCACAGTGTGGCCACGAGAAGCCCCTTGGCTGAAAGACGGTGCGACCTGAAGCCGAGTCCGGTTAAAGCCAAGTCCAGGCTCAAAGGAGCAAGGGAGAAATGTCAGCCCAACCCTCTGGGGGTGTGTGCACGGTGCAGGTGCGTTCAGACGGTGGCAGAGGTGCACTTCCTGCAAGGTGACAGGCGGTCACCAGCAACAAGACGGAAAATACCCACACCCTAAAAGCACATCCACGCTTCTAAGTATTTCTCTAAAGTACATCATTGGATACGTGTAAAAAACGTGCTACAAATACGTCTCTTCAGTGTTGTTGATAATAAAAACATCATCAATAACCTTTGCCTCCAAGCGGTTTTATAAAACTGTGGAACGTGGAAATCAGGAAACACTGTGCAGCATTAATAAACCAAGTTGCAGAAGTAGATTTATTGACATGTTTGATCTGCAAAGGCCTATTCTTGTGCGAAAATGATACATTGTAATATCAGATTGTCTACACACGCACACACCCTCTCGATACCGAAACATTAATAGTCATTGTCCCTGGGTGGTTTTTTTCCCCTACTTCTTCCTTTCAGGCCTGGTTACTTAAACATTCTGATTTTGTGATTTTCTAATAAAAAAATTAAAAGGAGAGGATTGGCCGGCCAGTGCCAGCGACAGAAACTTGGGGCAGTAAACTGTCACCTCTGATCTCTGGTTTTCTCGTCTAGAAAAGAAACACACCAGTTCTTCCTTCGGAGGTTACTGCAGGGCCAAAGCAAACACCCACTTACTCACACATCTTAGGTACAGTTCCGTGAGTTCTGGCCAGTTCGGACGGTCGCGAACCCCGGTGACACATTCCATCATCCCGGACGTCTCTCCGAGCTCCCTCGTAGCCAGCCCCTCGCCTCGCGTCCAGCCCCCCGAAACCAGACGTGTGTTTTCCAGAACGTCACTAAAATGGACTCGCACACGTGTGGCCTTTGCCTCTGGCGGCTTTCACGCGAACACAGTCCGTTGGAGGGTTGCCCACGTCAGTGCCTGTCCCAGCAGGTTGTCGCTTCTGATGGCCGAGGTGCACTCCCTTGTAAGGGTGTGTGTTCATTTCACCTCCATGTGTGTAAGACCCCGTCCATCACCACAGCCTTCGGACACGCACTCCCTCATCGGGGGGGTGTTTAAGATGTTTTGTATTTCCTCTGTTGTAAATACAATTGTGGTGAACATCTCTCTGCATAAATCGTCGTCACTGACCAATTCTTTAGGGTAGAGATTCCTGCGAAGGTCATGCAGGAATTAGAAGGTCATGCGTTATAAATGTTTTTAAAGTTCTCAATGGCCTTTTTTTTTTTATCCTCACCCGAGGACATTTTTTTCCATTTTTTGTTCAGATAGAGTGGGAGGGAGAGAGAGAGAGAGAAACATCGATGTGAAAGGGACACATCGAGTGGCTGCCACCCGCACGACCCACCAGGGCCGGGGACAAACTGCAACCAAGGTACGTGCCCTTAGCGGAACCGAACCCGGGTCTCTCTGGACCGCAGGCCGACGCTCCAACCGCTGAGCCAAACCGGCCAGGGCCCCACTGGCATTTTTACCCACTAACACATCCTCCCTGGCGTTTCCGTGCGGGGCTCACAGCAAGCTGGACTGAGAACGCCGGTGTTTGTAACCCTCTCCCCTCCTCTCTTTTCCGATGCTGTCGCCGCAGAGTCGGCGCGAAGCTCCCGTGCAGCCGGAGAGCCTCGGACCTCACAGCATGGAGGCCGGGCAGGAAGCGTCCCTGTTCCTGGTGAAGATCCTGGAGGAGCTGGACACCAAGCAGAACACGGACTCCTACCAGGACCTGTGCAAGTCCCTGTGCTCCCGCTTCGACCTGCCCCAGCTCGCCAAGCTGAGAAGCGTGCTCTTCTACACGGCTTGCCTCGACCCCAACTTCCCAGCCACGCTCTTCAAAGACAAGATGAAGTGCGCCGGGAACAGCCAGCAGTCCAAGAAAATCATGGTGGCCGCGGATGTCGTGACCATCTTCAACCTAATCCAGATGAACGGCGGCACCGCCAAGGAGAAGCTGCCCGCCGGCCGGCAGAAGGGGCGCAAGAAGGAGGCGTCCTTCGAGTCGTGCCGGTCGGACGCGGAGGTCTGCGGGGCGGCCGAGTGTGAGCCCCTGAACTGTGAGCTGGGCGACGGGCCCTTCGGCCAGGGCTACCCCGCCAGGCAGCCGTCCAAGTGCCGGAAGATGGACTGCCCGCAGTTTGTGCCCGCCTCCGAGCCCAACTTCTTGCTGGGAGTCAGCAAAGAGGCGAAAGCCCGCGCCACCTCCCTGGACAGGCTGCAGGCCCTCGCCCCGTACCCCCTGGCCAGCCCTCAGCCCTGTGAGATGCAGAGGACCTACTTCCCCATGAACATCGAGAGCGACCCGCTCTCGGACCAGGACTCGCTGCCCATCACCCCGGGCCTCAAGGAGACGCTCCTGTCCGGCGACGAGCCCTTCGGGGTCCAGTCCTGTGTCCAGAAGAGGCACATCTTCAAGGAGGATTTTCACAATCTGATGACTGTGTCCCCCGGTTTGGTTGGCGCAGATAACGAGGCAGAGGGGGAGCACGGGGAACCCCAGACCCGGAAGGAGCCCCACAAGACACCCTTCTTTAATCACAGCTTCGAAATGCCCTACAACAGCCAGTACCTGAACCCCGTGTACTCCCCTGTCCCTGACAAAAGGCGGGCGAAGCATGAGAGCTTAGACAACCTTCAAGCCTCCACGTATTTCGGGCCGACTCCCGTGTTGGGGACCCCGGACGCCAGGCGCTGTCCCGGGAGGCCTGGCAAGCAGACCCCCTGGCCAGCCAAAAGCTGGAGCCTAAACACAGAAGAAGTCCCCGACTTCGAACGGTCCTTTTTCAACAGAAACCCTTCCAAGGAGAAGCTACGCTATCCGAATCCCAGCAGCCAGACCCCCAGCTTCCCAGCCCTGGACCAGCACCCCGCTTACCTCATACCAAACGAGCCACAGCCGATGCTCCCTGCTGGCTACGCGGCAAAACCCAACGGGCTGAAGCCTACGGAGCTCCCGTCCCCCGTTGACGTGGAGAAGCACGAACCGGTGAAAAAGTTCAAAGACAAGAGCATCAGCTGCACCAGCGGGCAGCTCAGCTCCGACACCAGCAGCGTGGGCACCCAGACCGAGCAGCGTGTGCTGGAGCCCAAGAAAGGCAAAGACCCGTGCGCCTCGGGGCAGGGCCAGTACGGGGACAGGCACGCCACGAAGCAGTCCGACGACGACTCGGAGATCGTCAGCGACGACATCAGCGACATCTTCCGATTTCTTGACGACATGAGCGTCAGCGGCTCGACCGGAGTGATACAGTCGTCCTGCTACAACAGCACGGGGTCCTTGTCTCAGCTTCACAAGTCGGACTGTGACAGTTCGCCAGAGCACAACGTAACCAAAATCGCCAACGGGCTCCCCGGCAGCAAAGGAGAAAAGGGCAACCGGCCCAAGAACAGCCACCACTCGGAAGAGGAGTTGAAGACCAGTGTGTGCAAACTGGTGCTCAGGATTGGGGAGATCGAGCGGAAGCTCGAGTCGCTGTCGGGGGTCCGAGAGGAAATCTCCCAGGTCCTGGGCAAACTAAATAAATTGGATCAGAAGATGCAGCAGCCCGAGAAGGTGAGTGTGCAGATAGACCTGCATTCCTTGACCAGCGAGGCTCCGTCGGACGAGAGTGCCTCTCCCCGCATGTTCCACACACACGGCGGCTCCCGTGGACCCAAACTGGAGAACAGCACCGACTGGTGCTGCTCGGACGCCAGCGGAAGCAACAGCGAGAGCCTTCGCGTCAAGGCCTTAAAGAAAAGCCTCTTCACCAGGCCGTCCTCGAGGTCACTGACGGAGGAGAACAGCGCCACAGAATCCAAAATCGCCAGCATCTCCAACTCGCCCAGGGACTGGCGCACCATCACGTACGCCAGCCGCGGGGCCCCCGCCGAGGAGGAGATCAAGGACAGAGGCCCCGGAGACAGCAAGGACTGGCATCGAAAATCCAAAGAGGTAATTTAAAACTACGCTCACATACCCGGGCACGCAGCGGTGCATTTCCCAGCCTCGGATGTGCCCAAAACGAGAAAGACGCCCCCCCTCCACGCGCCAGCTGCCCGCTGGGACTGGCCGGCCTTGCACGGGGGGCAGAGGGTGGAGCGCAGGCAGGCTGTCCGCGGGTGTGGGGGGCAGGTCCTCACGGGGAGGACAGGGACTGGGCAGGCCCACGTCACAAGGACGTCCTCCCGTCCCTTCAGAGAACACGCGTGACATGACGTGAAAGTCCCTTTGGTGGACTTCGGTGCACGTGTGGCGTTCCTTGTTATTAGCTTATTTTTGTTCATTGCCTGAGGATGTTGCTATTGGTTTGTTTCTCAGAGTGGAGGGAGGGGAGGAAGGGAGGCAGAGAAACATCGATGTGAGAGAGACACATCCACTGGTTGCCTCCCGCCTGACCCCGACCAGGGCGGGGGATCGAACGTGCAGCCCAGGTACGTGCCCCTGACCGGGGGTCCAACCTGTGACCTGCTCTGACCGGCCACCAGGGCACGGCGTCCCTGTTGAAAAGTTTCAGCGTTTGCATGGTAAGGTCGATAGATGGCTGGTGAAGGGAATGAGAAATAAGGAAATCACACCCGAGCACAGCGACACCTGTGGTGGCGTCTTCCTTTGCTTCGTAGCTTCTTCCTACAGAAGTGCGTTCTGGTCCGTGTTGCTGCCCTGGCTGTCAGCTCTCACACACACATGTGCACACACACACACACACACAGGCACGTACACACACACACATGCCCACATGCACACATGCGTGCGTGCACATGCACTGCACACGCATGCCGTACACATGCATGCACACGTGCATGCACGCACGCACATGCACACATGCATGCACACACTCTCTCCATTCTTGTCTTGTCTGCCATGAGGGGCCGTGTCGCGGCAGGTGTGGGTGCTCCTCTTCATGGGTCACAGAGAGCCCCCTCAGGCGGAAAGGGCACGGTTTCAGTTTGTTGTGTGCCTCGTCCCTGGTTTGAAAGGTCAGTGGACGCACCAGGCGCCTCCGAGGTCCGAGGGGACCCGGCGAACAGAGAGGAGGAGGGGAGGGTGTGGGCTGCAGACAGGCAGAGCCACTCCGTGGCCGGGTGCAATGATGCCGAGACCAGCCCGGGAGCCTGGGCTCTCAGGACCTTTTCAGGGTCCAACGTGGGAGAAAAGAGTCCATTTGGAAAGTGATTGTTTTTTCTCTGATCCCAAAGAAACCTGTCTGTGCCAGGCTCTCTCTGTCCTTACAAGGCGCGTGGGGAGAGGAGGCTGGGGCAGCACAGGCCGCTGCTCCCACGATGCCCAGCTCCTCTGGTCATTATCGTTGTCCCTGAGCCGCTAGCGTCCGGCCAGCATTGGCAAGTGACCACTTAGAGGACTCGAGCCTCAGGCTCTTCTGCAGAAACAGTGAGGTTCACGGAACTGGCCACGCTCCAATCCCAGAGCCTCGTGAAGCCAACAGAGAGACACCAGCTTAGGGAAGACCCACGGGAAGTGCTCAAAGCCGGTCTTCACTTGGCCACCTACTCTGACCCCACGTCTCCCTCTGGGCAGACGGCTCTTGCCACCTCTGGGCCGCGGAGACCCATGGTGGTGACAGCCTCCTGCCCGCCATCTGAGCTGCGGTCCCACGTCTCAAACTGCTCCAGGCCAGTTCCCGTCTCGACAGGGTACACTCGGCTCCTTGAATGCCAGTGTCCCCTCTCCGCCCCATTCTGGGGTCACCACTCTATCAGCCCCCAGGCTGAAGAGGCCTCAGACCTGTGGCCGCCCGGGCCGGCTTGCTCACGTCCGGTCCAGCCTTCAGTCCGTGGATCTGCCTTCTGGGCGTGCCCTGCAGCTTGGCCTCCGTCCATTTAAGTTCATCCCCACGCCCACCACACAGTCGCACCCTGAGCACACCGCTCCTGGGACCTGGGGCACAGGTACCCCCAGTCTCTTCGCTCACCCCCCTTCCCTGCCCTCCCGAAGTCTGCTGGCCTTGCTGGAGCCACTCGGGGGTGTGCGGTGCCTCGGGTCCCCACTCTTCCTTCGCTCTTTGCTTCGGTGACAAGCGTCAGACCCCTCGAGCCCAGTGAACCCCCGACCTCCCTAACAGGAGGGCCTTGTCCCCCAGACGGCCCTGCTCTGCCCTGGGGCCTGCCTGCTTGCAGCAGCGCCCACTCCTTGCTCCGTGCCTCGCTCGCTTGGCACCAACTGTCGTGGCTGGGCCCGACCCTCCGCGAGACCCTTCTTCACGGGACGCACCGCTCCCGTGCTGGCCTGGGTCCCGTGTTCCCCTCAAGGCCTCTTCCTGCTTCGGGCTGGAATCTTCCCCGAGGATCCCTGCTGGTGTCTGACCTCTAGCCCTCACGGTGTGTTCAGACCGAGTAGATTAAACTTGCATTTAAAGACCTGCTCGGTGTCTGCTTGCCGCCCAGTGAGCACGCGGCCCTCGGCGTGGGAGCGCGCGGCAGGAGCGCGCGGCAGGTGTGCTCGGCAGGGAGGTCCATCCAGGTCCGGAGCCCGGCCGCCCCACGTACTGCCTGGGAGACACTGGGTCCGTCTCTCGCCTCTCTGACCAGAGCTTCGCACCCACAGCGGGGACAACGGCGGCAGCCTCCGGAGGTCACCGAGCGGATGAACGGAGACGGTGCGCGGTCAGCACTGAGCCCCGCCCTCGGTGGGCGAACTCGGGGCGTGGTGTCGGGTGGTGGTAACGAGCAGACTTCGTCAAATCAGTGAACCCTCTCAGAGGCCCTTGGCGACGCGGAGTTAGAGCAGGAGAGGCAGCCTCACTTTCTGTTTGGGTTGGGCCGAGCCACCCGTCTCTGCATCGGTAGCGGCATCTTGGTCGTGGAGGCAGGACATGGCGCCTGTATTCCAGAGCCCAGGGGCCCGCACACCGGAGGGCGGGCCTGCGTGGGGGAGCGACTTGGCGGGAGGGGCAGACGTGGCCGGGCCTGCCCTCAGGAGCTCCCCGGCCAGCGGAGACCGATGGGCAGACGGCGGTTCCAGGTCGGCGGGACGGTGTTGGCGGCAGAGGTGGGCACTGACCCAGTCTCGGTGGGTCCAGGAGTGCTTCCTGGAGGCAGAGGCATTACGCAGAGGTCGCAGGGCCTGGAGGTTAGGGTTAGAAAGTCTCAGAGGACCCTAGCGGTAACGGGCTTTACTGAGAACAGGGCCCTGGTACGCACGTCAAGGACCGAGAACCAAAGTGACGGCCGCTGGGTTGGGCACCGTCCTACCTCCACGCAGCTGTCCACCCTGCCGTCCAGGTCGTGAAGGCCATGCCGCTGTCTCTGAAGACCACCAGCGGCTCCCAGCGTGTCCTTGCTGGCTTCTTCCTTCCGGAGAAGCCGTGCGACTTCCACAGGCTCCCGGACGGGAGACCCACGACTTTTTTTTGGCTGTTCCCCCTCACCTCGGGATATTTTCCCACTGATTTTTTTAGAAACAGTGGGAAGGAGTGGGGAGGGAGAGAGAGAGAAACAGGGATTGGTTGCCTCTCTCACGACCCCCACTGGGGCAGGGGATCAGACCTGCAACCCAGCAATCGAACACGCCACCCTCCTGTGCGCGGGTCGCCGCTCTAACCACTGGGCCACCAGCAGAGCCACCCAGGTCGTACTCCTGGGTGCCAGGTACAAATTGCTAAAGGAAAGAGGGGCCCTCACGGTGACACAAAGATTCCCTGAAGCCAGGTGGTGAGGTTCACTGCCTCTCCACCGGGGCAGCTGGGGCCCGGGGCCCAGTCCTCGCTCCAGGTCCTCACCGGTGGGGGGTCGGCCAGAGCCCTGATGGGTGGGGGCTGACAAAGCCGGCTCTCCCCGGCACAGACGGTCCGCTCACGGCCGGGCTGCTCTGTGTTGTTTGTGGGTAACTGCATTTTGCTACCTGGGTGTCTCCGGGGCCTCGGGGTGCAGGCTGGCGGCTGCCCGGCTGGTGTGAACCCGCCGGCCTCTGTGCCCCCTGCAGGCGGACAGGCAGTACGACACCCCCCACCAGCACCGCAGGCCCAAGCAGCCCAAAGACGGCTTCCTGGTGGAGCAGGTGTTCAGCCCGCACCCCTACCCCGCCTCCCTCAAGGCCCACGTGAAGAACAACCCTCTGTACACCGACATGCGGCTGACCGAGCTGGCCGAGGTGAAGCGGGGCCAGCCTTCCTGGACCGTCGAGGAGTACACCCGCAACTCCGGCCACAAGGGCAAGCTCACCGCCCTGGACCTGCAGGTGAGCGTCCGGAGGTCCCGGGAGGGGGGTGGCTGCCACGCCCTACAGTGCCGGGAGGGGCCGCCGTGGCCCAGGCCACCCTGTGCCCTCAGCACAGCTCCTGGCCCCCCCACGGGGTCCGGAACCTTCTCGGAGCCCAGAGTTACCAAGGGGGCTGCTGCTGTGCTGTTGGCTCCCGATGCCTCCTGGACTTGCTGACGCGGACCCTTCGATTGGCTAACGATGCGGTTAAGACGCCACACCCAGTGTCGGTTCTCCTGTCTGCTCCCCAGACCTGAGCCGGTCTGTTCCCTGAAAAACGAGCTGATTTCTCCTTCTGTCTGTAGCACGTGGGGTAAACTGAGGTGGGAGCCCAGCTATGGACTATGTTTCCATGCGAGGCAGCCCCGGGTAAGACCGTGTAGAGGAGCCGAGGCTGCTGTCTGCTCACGGCGGGCAGGGGCGGGGGGGGGGCGGCCACACGTCCATGTGGGGCAGCTCCCCTGGTGCCTTCCCACTGCGGCTGTCTGTGTCCCCGCATCCCCACGTCCCCACAGGGGCACCGGAGACACCGGTCTCCACCTGCGGCCTGAGCTCCCTGGGCAGTGGGGCCACAGTCCCAGCGGGGCCAGAGGAAGTCGCTGACAGGGCCTGGGGAGATGCAGTGGGGGTGGCGGGGCCCCCGAGTGTCCTCGCTGTGGGAGGGCGGGGTGCAGAGGGAGCCCGGGCAGCCTGGCGCCGTGGCCGCGTCACCTGCCGGAGCCTCGGCTCCCTCGCCCGCTGAGCGGGCTGACCGTGCGCGGCGGGCAGAGCCTCGTGAGGACCAAGAGCAGTGAGTTACTGCCTGGCAGCCTGCGCACTGAGGAGGCGCCGGGGGCCGATGAGAGGACGCAGAGGTCCGCCTGCGCGCAGCGTGTTCCCTCAGCGCCTCCGGCCCAGCACAGGGGTGCGGGCAGGGTGGCAGATGGGGACATCGGTCAGGATCCACCCGGACCGCCCATGACGGGTCCTCTGCCGCTTCCACCGCCCCATCGTTCTGTGGTGACAGTGCAGGGGAACCCATGTCCCCAACACGACCGCCATGACGGCAGGGGCAGCTCTGCCCAGACCCGAGAGCGAGGGGGGCAGCCACTCCTCCTGGCCCCCACCTCCCGCCCAGCAGGTCCCCGGGCACGGCCTGGCCCACTTCCCTCCGGCACTTCTGCTCCTGTCACCGTCCCCGTGGGGCCTCACGCAGCCACGCTCCTGGGCGTCAGGACTGCGCTAGGGAGTCAGAGAGAACCTGCCGGGGGGGGGGGGGCTCAGCCGGTGCACCGCTCACACCGTGACGCCCCGAAAGGGGCCGGTTGAGGGAGCGCCCGACAGATGGAGAAGCATCTTTTCGTGGTTGCCGTTAATCCTCACCCGAGGATATTTATGCATCAATTTTTAGTTAGAGGGGAAGGGAGGGCGGGCGAGAGAGATAGAAACATAGATGAGACAGACACCTCCATTGGTTGCCTCCCGCAGGACGCTGACTGGGGCCAGGAATTGCACCTGCAATCCAGGTGCGTGCCCTTGACCAGGGATTGAACCCGAGACCCCTGGTCTGTGGGCCGATGCTCTAACCCTGAGCCGAAAAGGCCAGGGCAAAAAACATCTTTTTAAAGTTCGGGGAAGGAGGCTGGGAATCTGGCGCCTGCAGGTACGTGCGGTGTTAAGGTGCCAGTTACGAAGACGGAGTGTAAAGAGTGAAGGTCGGACTGGAGCCTCGGGCGACCTCACTCAACACTGCCAAGGACGGCGCGGCCGGTTGTGCCGCTGAGGAAGCTGCTCGGCAGCCTCGCGAGGGTGTCGGCAGCTCGGCTGAGCGCCCGGCCGCGGTTTCAGAAGCTTGGGCTCCGACCAGGGGCGGCAGGAGCACCTGTACAGCCCTCATGGGGTCCCTGGGTGCCCGCCTGGGGCGCGAGGGAGGTGCTGGCCCTGCCCCGCTCCCCTCGTGGGGATGCTGATTAGAATCCGTGTGCTCGCCCGGGTCCCTCAGAATCCTGGTGCCATTTGCCTGCAGCTGGTGAAAAACCTGATGGAAACGTTCTGTTCCCCAGGCTGACTCCCCGCTTCCTTCTGTCTGAGCGGGAGGGAGCAGCGGAGCTGGTGCGCGGTCTACACGCCGCACACTCTGGCGCCAGCTGTGGGGGCGGAACACAGGAGGCTGTGGCCGGGCCAGCTTCCCGGCGCCCGGGCAGGGGGGCTGCAGGTCCAGCCTTCCACCCGCCACCTTGGGGGGTGTGTCCGGCACACGGCTCCAACACACGTGCCCCTTGGGCCCGTCCCTCCCTCTGCGTGTCCATTAAACTGCCCAGGGAGACAGATGATGCCAAGTGCCCGCGGATGGCAGAGGTTAGGAGGGGCCCTTTGGCTCCAGCATAGAAAGACACGTGTTGTCACAGCCAGAGCTGGGCCATCGCAGAACAGCTCCGGGCAGCTCCGCAGACCAGGCTCCGGGAACCAGCAGAGGCGGAAGGAAGGGTCGGACAGAGCGCCCTGTGCAGAGGACTTCTCCGTCACCAACAGTGTCTGGTTTCTTGTGAGGGGATCCTGGGCGGCCGGTACTGCTTTCTCTTCCAGACGACAACAGTCTTTCCGCATCACGCCTCATGCGGAAGGGGGCCTCACTCCCCCTCTCTTCCTATTGCGAGTTCGTGCGGACACTTTTTTGTTTTTTGTTCAGAGTGGGAGGGAGAGAGAGGGAGGGAGAGAGAGAGAGAAACATCGATGTGAAAGGGACACATCGAGTGGCTGCCACCCGCACGACCAACCAGGGCTGGGGACAAACTGCAACCGAGGTACATGCCCTTAGCGGGAACCGAACCCGGGTCTCTCTGGACCGCAGGCCGACACTCTAACCACTGAGCCAAACCGGCCAGGGCTAAAATTCTAGTCTGACAATCTTTGTCTTTTTTTTTTTTCTTTATTGAATTTAGAGAAAGAGGAAGGGAGAGGGAGAGAGACAGAAATATTGATGAGCAAGAACATCGACTGGCTGCCTCCTGCACGCCCCCCACTGGGGATCAGGCCCACAACCTGGGCATGTGCCCTGACCGGGAATCGAACTGGCGACCTCTTGGAGCAGGGTCGACGCTCAACCACTGAGCCACACTGGCCGGGCTCAACAGGTGTTTGAAATAGAAACATTTTATGTTTGGTTTGAGCTGCGTGTCTGGGAGGTGCCTTTGATTGTTGGTTTTAGTAGATGTTTTTCGGAGGAAGGGGGACTGAAGCCCAGCACTGTGCATAGACGCGGGCCGGCTCCATTCTCTGGGGCTCCGTGGGGAGTATTTCTCGGTGACATCCTGTTTCTCTGCAGGGGCCCCGCCCGCCCTGGGTTGTGTGCCCTTGGATTCCAGTCTCATGTTTCTTGGTCCTGTTTTGCTTCCTTATCTGCAGACGGCCCACAGGTCTCCTGGGTCAAAGCATGACGAGCCCGTCGTAAGAGAGGGGCAGGCGGTCTGGGTTGTGGGGGAGCCCGGACGCACGGCCGCCTCCTGCCACCTGCACCAGGAGGGATGACCGTCAGGATGTCTGTGACCTAGTTCCAAGTGTCCTCCACACCTCTAACATCTCCTCTTCGCTTTCAGACCCAAGAATCTTTAAATCCGAACAACTTAGAGTATTGGATGGAAGACATTTACACTCCAGGCTACGACTCGCTCCTGAAACGGAAAGAAGCCGAGTTCAGGAGAGCCAAGGTCTGCAAGATCGCGGCTCTGGTCGCGGCCGCCGCCTGCACGGTCATCCTCGTCATTGTGGTGCCCATTTGCACGATGAAGTCATGAGCCCGGGGCCGCCCGCGTCTTCCTCCGCGGTTCAGGTCAGGGGGCAGCGTGGCAGCCGTCGGTGGAGACAGCGACGGAATCACGGGGGCGTTTCTGTGAACGCGGGGGACGGCGGCTTCCGGAAGCGCTGTGCAGAGACGCCCACCCGCCCGTGGGCTTGGGCTTCATGGTACTCCGATGCATTTTTAGACGTGCAATAGCTTTTTCTACCAAAAGAATGTAATGAACTATCAGTGAGACACACTGAATTACAAGCAAAAAAAAAAAAAAGACAGGAACGTAAATGAGCTCCTTTCCGTTTTGACGAGGCTTCCTGGTGGGGCCTTGGTTACACAGAAGACACTGGATGCACACCTTGGGGGAGGCTGCAGGGTGTGTCCCAGGTGACGCTACTTGTCTGCTGACTTTCATCAAGGGCTGTGGACTCCTCACTCTTGCCCTTCTGTGGTCATTGTCACGCACTTCGCCGCAGATCCTCGTGGGACCCTTGGCGACAGTAGGAAGGAGCTGAACTGCCGATCAGGCGGGGCAGGAAGTGCGCTCTGCTCTGCTCCAAGGCCCTCCGGTCTCCACCCCGCCGTGGCAGGTCACCGTGTGCGGATGATGGCCACCCCGCAAGGCTCCCCCTCCCTGCCTTGGTGTGTGGCCCAGATGCTCCGCGCCTCACTCGTGAGTGGAAGAGTTTGGAACTTGTCCTCGTGCCTTGAAGAGAAGACACCACGGCTGCACTTGGACCTTCTAGGTGTAAACCCCCGAGGGCAGCCAGGTCCAGGGGCTCGGTCGATTTTGAAAGCTCGTCAAGACCACGGTAAAGGCACCGAGCGGTCAGCCCAGCACCGAGCCCAGAGCGCCGAATGCCGGGCAGCTGTGCGAAGGCCGTGGCCATGTAGCCGTTTGTCTGTCTGTGTACACGTCTGTCTAAACACCGAGTCTCGGTTTCTCGTCCTCCCGGTTGGGTGACACGGCAACAAGAGCACAGGAAACGCGGTGGCCCCTCTGGAGTGCGTCTCGGCGTCCACCGGTCGAACGGTGCTTCGACACCACGGGACGGAATCTGTTCGGTGTTCGACGCTAACGTCCAGTCACAGGTGAGAGGCGGTGATGGACAGAAACCAGCCCGCCTGGTGCTGATGAGAACATGTGGGCAGCGAGAAGAACCACTGGACGACAGAGCGACCTCTTCAAAGGGGCCTATGGAAAACACCTCGGATTTCAAAGCAACAGGAGCCCCGCATCCATCCCCCCAGACTCCCAGATAGTGCTTAGGGTTCTGTCGCTCGCCACGGGGCAGCCAGGACATCTCGGGTTGTTGGCCAGGGCGGGGTGGATGCTTTCATCTGTAGGACCCTTTGGGTGTTGAGGTCTTCGTGTTGTCTGTTTCCGTCTTATGCACTTGTACTGATTTTCAACGAGGCGACCGCGACTCAAGCCTCAGTATGGAACACTGAGGATATATCACTGAATATTACTGCCCTTGGGGGTCAAGACCTGCCGTGCCAACTGTCCTCCTGACCACCCTCCTCCCCTTCACCACAGGGGAAGCCCACGGAACATCGGGGAGGGCGGTTCCCAAACTCTCGCTGGGTGATTTGCAGGGAAGTAAGTGGTGACGACTGACCCAGGGCAAGAAAAATCCTGTCCGATCCCAACTAGACTCCTCATCGGCCGGGGGGGTCAGCAGGGGCGGACCACGCCACCACTGCCCTGCCCTCGGCGAACCCTCTTCTCATGGCCCCCCTGGCTACGTGTCTAGCTCCAGGGGGGTGGGGGTGGCCACCAGCCCTACCCCACGCGTGGATGCAAGGGGACCCTGCGGAATTTTCTTCCTCCCTTTTCCTGTCTGGAAAGGCAACCGAGAAACGTGGCTTTGCTCAGTCCAGTGCAGCTTTTAAATGAACACGACATCGTTGTCACAGGATGGGGACGTGCAGACCGCGTGAAGCCCCCGGAAACCGGCGAGAGACCGAAGGCAGGACGGTTCCCTCTGGACGGGTTTTATTCCCAGGCCAATGGCCCTGAGTCTGGTGTCCAGTTACGGGCCTCTGCTGTGCTTGAAGCCCCTGAGCTCTGGAGAAGGGGACCTCCCCAGTGGGGTTCTCTCTCTCCACGGATCCGCAAGTTCCTCACCACCTTCTTTCCCTGGACCCCGACGCAGTCTGGCTCCTGTACCCCTCTATCTGCAGAACAGGCCCGCCCTCGCATCCGGCGGGGAAGGAAACATTTACCCTTCCCTCTCACGTGCGCCCCTCGTGTCCAGCTCCTGTGGGCCCCCCGCGGTGACACGGGACTGGCCTGCCCTGTGCACGGCGGGTCATTCCACCCCACTCGCAGACACTTTTGCACAAAGTGTCACTTCTCACGCCGGAGCCTAAACTCACTCCACGATCAAAGCTCACCTCGTGGCCCTTGCGTTGGAATAAAGCGAACACTCCGATGTTGTTCTTTAAGGGGGCCCTTCGAAACCAGACGCCCTTCACCGATGATGAAATTCAGGATCATGCGCCCTCTTCTCTGGTTGGAATTCACTTGGAACCCAGCCTTTCAGAAAAGCAAAATAAAAATCTCAGCTCACGGTGTTCAGGTAGTTGACGCCAGTGTCTCTTCTCGAAACGGCAGATACCGGGAAGCAAACCACACTTGTGTCAGCCACGACCCGCGGATCACAGATGGCTAGTGTGTCAGGGCACGCGGCCACGGGACTGGTGACGGAAGGCCAGTCCACTGGACGACGCACTGACCTCCCTTCCGAATGTGCTGGGTTCGAGGCAGCGCTGTTCTCTTTACAGTTTACCAACATAGCGGCCACGGCACCTCATTTTTTCGTTCTTTTTTCTTTTTTTTTTTTACCAAAAATTAGCTCTGCCAACGGTGAATGATTCCAAGTGGCATAAAACATTGCGACTGTTGAAAATTCAATGTGGTTCCTATTACAACCAACCTGCAAGAACATGGGTGGTCGTCAACCGTGTGAACGCCCACCCAGTATATACTGTATTATCGTACCACTGACGTTTGTATTTAAAGGCCCAGATCTTAGGGATTGTCGGTAGGGTTGGAGAGAAGGGTGTGAGGTATTTAGGAGGCAACGGCGAGAAATGCAACGGACTTCCTTCTTTATGCCTTATGGACAGCGGGTGTGACGGCTCGGGGGCGTTGGCGCGGGGCGCGGAGGGAGCGATGTCCGTGAAGGGAGGGCTGGTCTTTTCCACGTTTGTCCTGCACAGTGCAGCTCACTCTCGGTGCTTGGCCGCCGTTATATAACACCAGGAACTAAGCACATTTTTAGATCCTTTTTCAAACGGCTTGTGTACAATTTGGTTCATGTACAGCGGTTGGTTGGAAGCTATCCTGTAAAACCTGCCCCTCCGGACAGAATTGAAAATAAATGGAAAAATAATGCCTTGCCGTGAGATTTTATTCTACGCATACGTTGTACATGTCCGGTTTCACGCACAAATCCTCAGCGTCCAGCCGGATGATTTTCCACGTGTTGGACATCCACGTAACCCGCACTCGTGTCAGGAAGTGGGACATTCGAGCGGCCCGGGGCCCCTGGGCAGGATGGATGGCCAGTTGCCCCACCGTTGGCATCGTCCGTCTCCCATCGCAGCCATTGCTGGGTGTGGAGTGGTGTCGCGCTCTGCGTCTGACTTGCCTTTTCCTGATGACCGAGGAGGGGAGCCACCTCTCTGTACATTCGTCACCCATCTCCACATCCTGTTCAGTGACCTGCTTGCTCTGGTTTCTGCCGCTTTTCCCTTCCGCTGTTGGTCTTTTTCTTATTGATTTTGTCCAAAGTCTCTGTTTTGGAAATGAGTCATTTGCAACTATCCGTGACAAATACTATTTTCCATTCTGTGGGGGCCCATGTTTTTATTTCAATCTGGAAATGTATCATTGTCTCTCGTTACGATCGGCCATCGGAGTCGTGGTGAAGACACCTCTACGGGCTCCAAGGTCACGAGGACACTGTTTTCTTCCAGTAGTGTTGCTGTTTCACCCCGTCTAGAATTGACAGTTACATCCGGTGTGAGCTTGGGGCTTACGACACCCCCCCCCCCGGCATGTCCATCCGTCAGCACCTTTTATCACAAACACCCTCTTTCCAGTTCGTGTCTGCGGAATGTACACATGGCTTCCGGTACTCTTGATTCTGCTCCATTGGTTGGTTCACCTGTTCTTTTTTTTTCCCCTCACCCGAGGATAGTTTGGCGTTTATCTTCAGATAGAGCGGGAGGGAGAGAGGGAGGAAGAGAGAGAGAGAGAGAGAAACATCGATGTGAGAGAGACACATCGAGTGGCTGCCACCCACACAACCCCAACCAGGGCCGGGGACAAACTGCAACCAAGATCCGTGCCCTTAGCGGGAACCGAACCCGGGTCTCTCTGGTCCGCCGGCCGACGCTCTAACCGCTGAGCCACACCGGCCAGGGCGGTTCACCTGTTCTTACGTGAGCACAACATCGACGGAAACTTTTTCCTCCCCGTGACACTCGGGAGTTTCTCACTATGGAGTAAAGGACTAACAGCTGACTTGGGGCTCGAGAAGTCGTATCATGGAGCACGGAGAGCGGAGAATTTACCCAGCTTCTCTGTTTCCAAATCTTCACTGTTGAAATTACTGCAGATGTTCCTCCCTTGCCTCCCAGGGACCCACCTCCCCCCTGCCTCCCCACACCGTTGTCTGTGTCCACTGGGAAGCACAGACGTCCTTCAGTTTATCTCTCAGCTGCTTGTGTCTCATTCTGCCATTCACACATGTCACCGAGCTCCCTGCTCGAGTCATTAAAGGAAGATTAAACATGAGTCATGACCACATGGCAAAAAGCAATGACTATCTTGATACCTAAACACAGGAAGAAGTTTCTGACGAGATCTCGGAGAATGTTGCGGTGACTGCACAAGGGTGGGTATATGAATGATTTTTATTTTTATTTAAAAAATTTTTTTTTCTTTATTGATATTTTAGACAGAGAGGAAAGGAGAGGGAGAGAGAGCGA